AGAGAGAGAGAGAGAGAGAGAGAGAGAGAGAGAGAGAGAGAGAGAGAGAGAGAGAGAGAGAGAGAGAGAGAGAGAGAGAGCAACTCATGTTGTCGCCGATGTCATCTAGTGCCCGTATGCATTCTATTTTGTCTCCTCTGCGAAGTTGACTTCAATGTAAAATGTTGGACGATGGACGATGGTGTGATTGACAGGTATTAGATATGGACATTTGTCCTACCTAAGGCTGCATTGTGACCTGAATGCTGCTTTCTCGACTCGCTTCTGGTTCAATGTCCATTCACTAGGACCCATTGATTTTCGACAAGTGGGCCAGCAAGGGTTCCTGATCGTTGATGTGCATTCACTAGGAACCGTTGATGATGAAAGTGTTTGTTCATATACCTGTGTTCAAAGGCAGGGAGTTGGAACAATCAGACACAGTTGAGATACGCGGTGAGGTCTGCGGTCACTAGCATAGCACAGACACATTCGTGAACACACATCTAGTTAACTCTGAAACTGAGTAGAATTGAGTAGGTAGGTGACCGTAGGTCGTTGGTTCGAACTAACGACCTGCCGAATTGAGTATGCAGAAAAAGGACGAAATGAGTATGGTGCATCCTTTTTCTGCATGCAGTACGTCCGTGAACGCGTTTTTCGTCTTACCGTAAAGCAGCAGTGCATTCCAGCTCTCGGTCGTGTAACTTGTGTTAAACCTGGCATGAAATACGGTAGTCTTGATCCCTGGACCTATATGAGATTTTCTAAAAGTTTGTGTTTGGGTCTAGGCTACCAGAGTGGCCCCGAACTACTTGCCCGGCCGGGCCGGAAAAAAAATAAAATAAAATGTTATGACAGTTGTGCAGAAAAAAAAACTGAACAACTTTTGCGTCAGGGTCACATGGAAAACTAAGTGTTTTTTTTGGTGTGCTGGGGGTACCCGGGACGGGGTGCCCGGGCGCCCCGGGAAAGCTAGTTGGCCACCGATATTTGTACCTGAGGCAATTCGGGACTGCTGCATGGACATTGATAGCGGAGTACCGTCTTCACCGGAATGGAACGCCCGGTCATTAGAGCTGTATTTGGTGCAACTTTCAGTCTAGGTACGACGATAATAACCGGCCATTCTATTCGGGTGAAGACGGTAGGACTCTTTGGACATTAGTGGGACCAGTCTGCTGATCATACACATGTTTCTGTTTTGTATGTAATCATTCAGTACCTAGGTAGTAGGTACTATATTAGGATGAGTGAGCAGTCGAGTCCACCTCTCCGGTCTAACGGTTGGTGATGACCGCTATAGTCCGGACTATTGCGGTATTAGCCGATGGAAAAAAGGGGTTCGCTATAGTTCACCTCTCAGGTCTAACGGTTGGCAATGACTGCTAATAGTGGTGAGCAGGTAGATTGGTGGTAGAGGAAGGAAATAGCGAACCCCCTGAAGATGATGGCGTGGCTGCCACCGAAACGCGGCGTCGTGGACGCCATACCTGATTGTACTCGTACCTTCAATTGCTTTCGATTACTGTTTGTCACACTTATGAGTTCGACTTACTTTGTTTTTTAAACTTTTTTTTCTTTTTCCTTTTTTCTCTTTTTAGTTTCACTTACTTTGTGATTCATCCATGATTCCATATCCATGTGGCCCCTAAAAAGAAAAAAAGAGGAGAATGAAGGGGGAAGTAAAAAGAAAAAATAAGAAAAAAAAAGAAAAAATAATCACCGACTTTGTCAAGTGGGACACCGCACATGTCCACTACGAGACCTACTGACGAATGGAAACTGACAAAAGCGAAACAGACGAACTGAAACTGATGAATGTCCTTTTTTTTTTCTTTTTTTTTTTTCTTTTCTTTGGCTGCAGACATTGGGCTATCCCACATTGTTGTTTTTCAAGGCAGACCAGAAGTCAAAGACGCCGGTAAGTATTCTTTTGCATTCCATGCCTGCCTTTCTGTAGATGTGT